AACTACAGTCTCATCATGGGGATAAACCACTAAGGCAGCTGTTGAGTTTCCTGAGGTATCTCCGGTGGTGTAATGAGAAGCCACAAGGAGAACATAGAAAGAATATTTATATTAGGAATTATAAAGAGTAAATGCCATGGGAACTTCTGCTTCCCATATCTCCTAATAAATGAGGAGAGACACATTTGAGATGAAAAGGCCACAAAGGCTTAAGAGGGATAATTTATTTTTTTTTTAATAGACTATATGAACTGAACTGTGGAACTTGCTGCCTTATGACATTACTAAAGGAAATACAGATGCCAGAAGTTCATACGCTTTTGAACAACTCTATTATAGGAACTATGGTAGTATCTGTGACATTATGTTACCAGGAATAAATGTGTCTTGTTCTACAAGTTGTCGATTTTCAGAGAGTCCTGTAAAACACGGCACTGAAAAACACCAGGACTTGTACTCTACTAAAAATATGATTTTACATGAAAATGGAAATACATTTGCAATTTTTGTTGTCATTCTCTGGCTCTTTTGATACAAGTCACTCAAGAAAAAAAGGACTTGGCCATAGTGACTCCAACCTCTGCCTCTTCCCCAGGCAGGAACAACTATATATATCAGTTTTGAGGGAACTACTATCTTCTCCTAGTTCAGCATTTTTTGTGCTTCATTTTCTCAAGTCACAGCAGGAAACATGGCAAAACAAGGAAACTGTAATAGCTGGCTGTAGGCTCTGCAGTATCCTCCCAGTCACGTTATCATGACATTAATGTTTCACAACTATTACAGATATTGATATGGGACATACCCGTACATTCATAGATGGTTTCTGTGGGAGATACCATTTCTTCTCTGTATCTTTTTACTGATGTCAGCACAAGGCTTTTAAAATGGGAAATCCCCCATCCAAATTGGAGTCCACTGCTGCAAAGGAAGGTAAGCACATATCTTGCTAGCACACTTCCGCAGTGGTTTGCTGACCAGAGAAGAACAAGGAGTGTCTGAGGTACCAGTGCTGTTTTGGAGGGTTGTGTGTTTGCTATAGTTTCTTGCAGACACATTTGTCCCTTTTCCTCTCCCTCCCCACACCAGGCCCTTTTTGTTCACAGCCTCTCTAGCTCGTCTTTTCAGCACCTCATTTTGGTCCTAGTCTCCATCCTTATCATGCACTTGTTATCTAGTCACTTGCTTGTCAGAGTTTCTTCGCTCTTTAATCTTCCTGGCTCACCTCCCTAAGTGCCTGACAGTGCAGGAGGGACATAGGTGCTCAGGGGCTCGGTCCTCTGCCCAGGCTCCAGGTGGGGGATGCTCTGTTCAGGCTCCCCAGCTGAGGGATGCTCCTTCACTCAGTGAATCTTGAGATTTGTCAATGTTCATTTCAAGTAGAGGTTTTTTTAGAGACTTGTAACATTACAAGACTCAGATGGTATATCACAGACATGGCAAAAATTATAAACTTATCACAATCTAAATCTTCATCCCAAAGCCTGGAGAAACTGAAGATCTTCAGGGGAAAAAGGATTTTTAAAAAATTCCCCCCCCCCCCTTTTTTTTACCTAGATTATCAACCTCCCACATGTATATCTAGCATTCTGAGGAAGAACTGAATCTTTCTTGTTGATATGAAAAATTGTAACCTGAAACAGACACCTGCTGTGGATAATTTCCAGCTAAACAGTTTAGGTTTCAGTGCTAACCCGTTGCTTCCTTGTAATTAAGCTGTACCTCCTGTGTCCATACACGCCTATTCGTATCCTGCAGTTATGCATCCAGTGTACTGATCCTGTCCTGGAAACGCATACCCTGATTCTTTTTCCAAACAACCATATTCTTACTAATTGATGGTAAAGGAAAAAAATATGGGGGAATAATCATTTGGATATACAGCAGGATAAACATAAGCAGTATCACTGCATTTCTGGCCTCTGGCATTACCCACTACATAATTCCACCGATGCTACTCTTTTGGATCAGCTGCTTAACAAACAACTAGCAAAAAATTGAAGGGAGTGTAAAAAAAAGATATCTGTGAAAATATAGAAGGTAGCTTTGAAGTGCTAAAAAATATAGAGTAAAGAGTTTTCAGAGCAGCCATTTAAATGTCCAAATCAGTCTTCTTTCTCTTAGTTTTCTAGTAATCTACCTAGGAGTTAGTCATGAAGTTCAGATGTAAGAACAAGCTAGGGTAACACAATTGTCATCCCATTATTTCATACTCTTTTAAAGAAGCACCCTCTCATTAACATGGAACTTTTTAGCAAACTCCAATTTAATTCTTTTCCAAAAGATTCCCAATATTTTGTGCAAGGCTCCCTCCCCTACAGAAATGCCCCCTGGAGGACAAGCCATCAGTGGATATCTCCTTACAAAGGATTCCCCAAATCATCCTGTGGTAAGGGAATGCCATTTCAAATAAATTGCAAAATAAACTCCTTTTATTGATTCAACAGGCTTCCAGAGAGCCAAGGGTCCATACCACCCTGGGGCAACTCTGGTTCACTTGAAACTTCTCTGCCAGGTGTCACTGCTACGTGGCTCATGCTCTCACAAGGACAGCTCACATTCAGGATTCACCATTTTCTATGACAGCAGAGAAAAAGAACTCAGCCAAGGCCGCTGTTGCCCTTGGAAACAAAAATATCTAAGAAGAGGCAGTGCTTTCTCCCTAATGTTCTCATGTTCTCCCCTGCTTTCTAAGCCACCACCTTCCTCTCTCTGATGCCAAAGCAGCATTGTAGTGTGGTCCAGCATAACATTTTTTCCTGTGTTTTGAGTTGTGGGGTTTTTTTTTTGTAGTCACAAGACAGCTTAATGAAAGGAGGCCCACATGAAAGAAAAACCAATAGAATAAAATAATGAGTCTGGCTCAGAAGGACAAGAAACATTTTTACACATCATAGCCAGTTTGCCAGCCTTTGTGCAATACTTTAAGTTGTGATATATGATTTATTCATTTGGTTTTGTATTCATTTGCATTTCATATTATAAGACAAATTTTAAAAACCTGACAGAAAACTGATTTATTTCATAAAGGATTTTCAGAAGACTTAATAAGCACTTATTTGGTGCAGAAATAAAACCATTGTGTCATTAAACAACACTGCTTCTGGGAGAGAGAATGCTGCAAACTCCTAAGACACTCAGACACGCACATCTTAAAAGACTGTCTTGAACCAAGTCCTATTAGCCTGCGCTGAACTGCATGCAGAATCACGCTAGCTGAAGATCATTTTTAAGAGGCTTTGAAGGTTTGGAAAGGCTCTGCATGTTTAATACGTTACATGCGGCATCTACGAGAGCCTTAAGGATGTAACTCTTGGGAAGGCTCAGTGTCAGACCGCCCTCTGATGGCAAGCATCCCTATCGCTGGTGCAGGGAGCAGGACCGGCTGCACGCATACTCCCCAAGGTAGAAGAAACCTGTCAGAGCTGGTCTCTTATATTGAACAGGGTGTAGGCACCAGCCTACGCAACCTTGACCTTTCAAATTTCAAGCTGGAAACAGTTGTTAGACCTCTCTGCCAAAACAACAAAAGCATCATTTCCTCATCGTCCACACATTGCGCTGGAGTTTTGCTGCACTTTATTACTGCAGTCAGCAGAATTTGGCTCTGAGACTGGATTCTCCTTCCCTCCTTTGTACACTGGGGTCTTGTAAATTCTGGCCTCATTGAAGGGCTGTGATAAACCTCTTAATAGCCTCATGTCTATCATGGTTTGAAACTGCCCTCTAGGGCACTGCAACAGAATAGAACAGAGCAGTATCTTACCTGCTCTCATATACCTTTTCCTTTGCATTCCCACCTTACCCCAGTCATATCTATCAGGGGGAACTAATACAGAATTACTCTATTAATCCTACACAAGGTAAGAGAAAATAACAGCACAGTGCTGCTGGACCAGTATAAAAGAGACTGCAATTCAGAGCAGAATCTGTATCTTCAACTGCTTGTTACACAATGACATGATTACTATACAAATTCAAAACCTACCAGCTTTTCTCTGAGTTGGGATTTAAGTCCTACAATGTTGAATACATATCAGTATCACTTTGAAATAGTAGCAGATTGATATATCACACAGTTGTTTTGTTGCTTGCTGCACGGAAAGCATGTTACACAGGATTAGATGGTAGCTGCAACTGCAACTTCAGGAGAGGAATATGACTGATTTTTTATAAAGACATCAAGCAGTCAATTCTTTTGGGATAAAATGTTCTTCAAAACTAGCTTCAGGATACCATAATTAATGCCTGAGTGAGGTAGGAATTATTATAATCATCTTCTCATAGTGCTATTTAACATACAATACCTGTTTGAAATTCTGCACTGTGCTTGAGTTGCTTGCCACTTTGAAGGTTCACACTTATAAAGAACCTAAACTGACAGCATCTATCCCATAAGTGAAATCACATCCTTATGAACCCTTCCTACAAAGTCAGGCAATCTACTCAAAGGGAAATTCATGTACTTCTATTTGTTGCTGCAAAGCAGAGTGAGCTGGCAATTATAGAGCCAGAATTCCAGAATATTTCCATCCCTGCTGCATATGGATGAGTATGGAAAAAAAAATGGACTTGGTAGTTGTCCTGGTTTTAGCTGGGATGGAGTTAATTTTCTTTCTAGTAGCTGGCATAGGGCTGTGTTTTGGATTTAGCATGAGAAGAACGTTGATAACACCCTGAAGTTTTAACTGTTGCTAAGTAGTGCTTAGACTAGTTGAGGACTTTTCAGCTTCCCATGGTTTGCCAGGTGCACAAGAAGCTGGGAGGGGATGCAACCAGGACAGCTGACCCCAACTGACGAAAGGGATATTCCATACCATATGACATCATGCTCAGCATATAAAGCTGGGGGAAGAAGAAGGAAGGGGAGGACGGATGTTGGGAGTGATGGCATTGCATTACCATACTACTTTACTGCTGGATGAAATTTTGTGTGTGCCTGTACACAGTAGATGCTCTGGTAGTAATTGAAACAAGTGACGTTAAGGAAGGTGGCTTACCTTGTGTTGTCCCGTCTAGTCCCATGAGACATTTCATTGCCCTGATGATTTGCTCTGCTACGGCTGGACACATAGATGTGGCGTACACAGCGCTGTGAGAATGAGTTCGTAAAAAGTCCACAAGGTCCTTACACAAGCAAAACAAAGCATGAATGAGCTTTGAGCTGGCCAAACAGTAGATCTCCCTCTTAACTACTGCAGGAGTGGGAACATGCAAAAGGAAGAGGACGTTTCAGCAGTTATTGGTTTGCTGTCTTGGCTGCTACTGTTAATACATGACCTGAAGAAACATCAGGCAGGTGCAAATACTTTACCAGGTAAGTGGGGCAATTATAGTTGAAACACAAGGCTGGAATAGAATTAATGTTTACTTCTGTGCTAAGACTTATTATGAAGGAGCCAAAATCATTTAAAGACCAATGAACAGCTGCACTTAAAATACTGCTCAGTTCCTGTCTGGAAATGAAGCAAAGCCTACACAGCATCAGTATAGTTCCTCTGTCACAAGACCTAACCCAGGAAAAGCAACCTTACTGGGTTTTGACTATTAGCATATAAACTTCTTTCAACTGAAACTTTCCATCAGTGTGGCAGGGGCAGTCATATTAGAGTTGATAGAGTTGCTTTGGCGTTTCCTTGTATAACTAAGAGACAATCTGTGCTCCTAGAAAAGGCACTGATGGTGATGTAGGCATGCCTAAAGCACCAGTAACTCTCCTGAATCCAGGGACACTGTAGCAATTCAACACTTGATTAAGACCATTATTGTTATGACAGCTTATACCTCCTAATGCAAACTATCAGAGTAACAGTTACCACACTAAAAGTGGAATGCACGTTAGTGAGAAAGGGATGAAACCGGCTTGAAAACTGCCTTCGATAAAAAATATCACCAGAAAAAAAAAAACACCAGAGGAACACAAATTATTGCAAAAACAGCTGTATGAGTCTATGTGGTAACTCCAGTGCTAAGGATAAAGATCTACCTAACCTTATACCAGTTATGCATTGCTGTATTGCAACTGTAATCCTCAGGGCTTCATGAAATAGCTGAGAAGGTTTCTGTGCTCTAGCTGTTACAGAGGAAACAGTACCACCATGAGTTTTTGGCTGCAGAAATGCATGGAAGTGTGTTGGGTGAGCAGCTGCCACCAAGGCCCGGAAGCTGGAGCAAAGCTTAGTGACACACACAGGCATGAAAAGAGTGACTCACTTTCATGTAAGAAAACTTCCAAGGATTAAGTGTTGAATTAATTTAGTCTGCTTTTCACAGGTCTAGGCTTCTTATAATTTCTAGCTACATCAGCCACATTGTCTTTGGTTAAGAGTTAAACCTTCAGATACAAATTCAGGAAGCAAAAGAAACAAAGAAAACTTATTCTTGATGTTATTGTGATAACCTGTTTTGAGATCTCCAGGGGCAAATCCAAAAAAGATAGTAAGAAATATACACTTCATAGTTTCTTATAGCCCTTTTATTCTACTCAAGTACTGCCCTTACTAATGTTATCCTGATAACAACCATATGGGCTGTGTAAACAGCTTTCCTATTCATTCAGCAAACTACTTAAGAAATACATTCAGCAGCGTATGAAAAAGGTAAATAATCAGCAACCACTTGATACCTCTGTCAAGAAACAAAACCAATGACATATTACAATAGTGCTGCTTACACTTTCACTTCTACACTCCCAATTAAAGCAAGCTCAGCTCTACTTTTTGTTGGCATCTGTTGTTGGCAAGAGGTTGCTTTGTTAATGTACACAGAGCAACTGAGAACACGGATTTTAGTATTGCAAAAGGCCCTCAGTGTAACACTTTCTCCATCCTCCTAAAAAATGCAACTATGACAATCCACAACTCTTTAGGAATTTTGTTATCAGTGGATAAAACTGTGGCTTTAATCTCTCAATATTGCCCCCCACACTATTTACAAATGTGAAACAAAGTAACGAGCAATTTGTGTGCAAATTAATGTAGTGGAGTATATTTAGCCAACCACAATGCCTCTAAACATTTCCAAGACAAACAACAATCCGTCAGGGTGGCACAGAAATACCCAGCCCAAGCAAATTACATAATATGAACATGAGACAAAAATAAGAAAGTCTGACTGTTTGATGTGCATTTGGTATCCAGACAAACATGGTACTAACTTTAGAATAGTGCTCCTGCAGAGCAGTCTATGCGAAAAGATAATGAAATACATCATACATAATAAGAAGGTACTTCCCTTCCCCTGATGTTAAAATGTTTGTGTTGTCCTCTTACCTTTTTGCCAGCTATGTATCCTCCAGCTGCGCCAAAGCTCTTTGTGAACGTTCCCATTAATACATCAACATCATCAGGACTCATACCGAAGTATTCCACAACTCCTCGGCCTGTTGCGCCCACTGCACCAATGCTGTGAGCTTCGTCCAAGTAGAGGTAGGCTTTGTATTTCTTCTTCAAGGAAACTATCTCTGGCAGGCGCACGATGGATCCTTCCATGCTGCAGATGGAGAGAATCATGGATGAACAACAAACCCTGTGCTCTCTTTCTCTTTAAGATACTGCCAGAAAATATATGCATTAATTGCCTTGCTCCATGAAAAAAAATTGTCTGGAACCTCAATTTGTATTTACAGTTCAAAGAAAAAATGTAACGCTTTCCCATCTGCAGGTCAAACAACAGTCAAACAGTTTTAGAATTCAAACAATCAAAACCAGTCAAAAAGTCTTTGAACATTTGCAAATTTTCAACATGCCAGAAAAGAGAAGGAAAGGTATAAAGCAATGGAGAGATACTCACCCAAAGCAGCACATTATAATTTACTACAAAACAAATATTGTAATGAATTATAAGGAGCCACTGTAATCCAGTCTGGTCCTTGCTTACTTCATCGTCAGATACTGTGGTAGCAGCTCTAGAGCAAATTACCCTGGTGCAAAGTTGTTGTGTCTAACACACACAGGAAGATGGACAACCTGAAACGCGCAGATGGTGCCGTAACTCAAAGCAGCTCCAGTCTTCAGATTGGGCAGAACCACGTATTAGAAAAGGAGCTCAAATCCTCTCTTGCCAATTGTTTCTCCCAACAGGTACTTTTTAGGAAATGCAACCTGATATCTAATACTCAAAAGGAAAAAAGTTTCCATTCTTTTTCTTTTTACTTTCTTACAGCCATGCAAGAAAAGGAAATATTCTGAACTTGCACTAATCGTGTGTTGAGATTTGTGGAAATAAGAAGAGGTGATGATTCTTTTGCATTGTTGGTAATCATGCCAGCAAATTAGAAGACACAGAGGAGATGTACAGCAAAATGAAAGCCTGGGGAGACAAATAAGAAATGCACTCTAATCCCACAAAGAAGAAGTATCAATAATATCGCTGTGAAGATTATTATGTCTTGAAAACCTTTGTGAGATGACTACAGGTACGCTTGGATATACTCCCATGCACTCAGTATTCATTTAATAATGAGTTAAACATGTTCTCTTACACTAGCTCTAGTGAGCAGGTCTTTAAATGCTAAATACTTCCTATCAAAAACAAAGTGAGTGCGCTGCATGCCAGGAAAACCACTGCTCCGTGGTGAAGGTCTGCAGCTAAGGTGTATCCGATTGCAAATGCTACAAGCATTTCAGGTAAGCAGAAACGTTGCGTTTGTTCCCAAAGAGCATGTACAAAAGAACAGTGCAATCAACACAACTTCTTGGCAATTTTTAGATCCTGGACCAGTGGCTTTCACAGCTTGTTTTATTGCTGCTCTAGCTGCACTATGCTGCTGGAAGTTTGGTGCCACAAAAGAAGCAAGGATGTGCTGTTAGCACTTGGGAAATTTCTGAGCATTTTAGTCCTCCTTCATCCTTTGGTCTCCTGAGTAGGCTTGGAAACAGCTTGGTCTCCAGTTTTGAAGGAGACCTTCCCATAGGCAAGTCTCCATTAGTTTGAAAGAACAGCACAGGGGACCAGCCATAGACAAGGGTTGTCTGTGCTGTTTGTACTGGAAGGTTCGGAGAGCCTGGCTGTGTGCGCCTGGAGGCGTATTTTTGGCTATCAGGTGACTGCTGGCAAATCTTGCCCTTCTGTGTTGCCCAGCAATTGAAGAGGCATCTATGGAGCTGTATATTGGAACCATGGTCTCTTGCAGCAGAGAATGGTGGGTTTGTACGGCAAGCTCATGAAGGCTGGGCTTTCTCACTTTTCCCAAATGGCACTTGGCAGCTGGGAGAGAAGCAACTTGAACCACCACAGCTATTTTCCTAATGAATACAAGGGCAGAGTCCACAGTCCTCACATAGCCCAGAGTCAAAGCATTAGTCAGCTAAAAGTTACACTGAGCCACTGGGTGTGCTTGGGCACGCAGCATCGTGCATGTGGGGGATGGCAGCATTCAGCTGTGTCTGGTCGGCCTGCAAGTTAGCTATATGGTCAGAGAGTGAGAGCGGTGCCAAGGAACGCCTCTGTGGAGGGAAGCAAATAGGCATCCCACCCTCCACCTTCCAGCAATACTTGGGCAGACCAGCCAGGCAGAGAAGGACAATAATAGTTTTTCCACATTTACATGGACATCATTAGGCTTAGTGGCTCATGGAGATTCGAATGGGAGAGAGCATTTATCTTCAGAAAGACAGGAGTAAAAGTGGTAAATTAAAAATACATAGCTTGATTTGCTCCACATTTGTGGAACGGAAGCAAAGTTGTTGCTGAATCACAGAATACATAGAGTTGGTACATGGCTGTTGCAAGACTTAACCATTAAGAGGCTTTAACAAAAACTTTTCTTACTAGTATGAGGAGATTTCTCTTTGAACTCTAAGCTATTTAGAAAAACAAAGCACTTATATTCAGCTTCAGTGTTGATATACTGCTCTTGAAAGATGCTGGCTGACATAAATGTTACAATAGTTGACGGAGATCCTAACATGGCCTTGAAGCATCCATGGAGAAGATAAAGCGCTGCTGGTTTCCTGCACATTTTCTGTGCTGCCATTCAGACAGACCTCAGCTCTCCTGATGGCAGAGATGAGAGTGGTTTTGCTGCCTTCTCTGTTCTTGGTCTCTCTTGTAAGCTTGAGAGATGATTTGTGATATGAACGCTGCTCTGTTTAGAGCTGCTCCCAGATAAAGCTCACTTCATATCAGCCCTTGGGTAGCCCAAATGGAAAGTTTACTGAATCCTTCAGTAAATATTGATGTCAGAGAGCCAGAGGTGAACTGTAATCATTCTGTCTCAGTCTGGTTGTATCACTTTTACAAGGCTATTGTTCTCTTTCCAGATCTGCTCAAGCACACAGGGCACACTGAAAAAGCTGGATGCAGATGAACATAAACTGGGTCTGCCCAGGCCAGATGTTTGGCATTACGTCCTGCTTGTAGCAAAAATTATTAGCTTGGTGGCAGGGATGTAAAGCTTTTAGATTGCAGCTGACCCTCATCTCTCTTGTTCGGTGGGTGGGCACAAAAGCTTGCTTCAGTACGCACTCAGTTTGAATCTACTTCCAGATGTGAGGAGATAATCCAAGATTTTGGGATTGCTGAATTTTGAAGCTTGATTCAATCCCTACCAAACCACTGAGATTCTTCCTGATGTAGCTGATGAATTGTGGAGCCAGGTGCTTTGAGAGACAGGAGGTGTGCACTTGTGCTGGTCCCTCCACTTGGAACACAGGCTGGCTCTTGACAGGATACTGACAGTTTTTGTCCAGTTTATTTTGAAACCTCTCAGGAAAAGACTTTTCTACATCCTACTGTGGTACCACACTTTCTTTTTCTTTTTTTTTCTGTCAAAAAAATTAATTTACCGATATTCAACCTTTTATCTTCTTCATAAGTGCATCACTCAACATCTCTAAACATGCCTGATAGTACCGCTATCCTTTCAACATTTGAAAATTGTATCTGTTCCCCTTTCAGGCTAGTTTGCAATTGGGAAAATCCCTCCTTTCCTGACCCATTACTCCCAAGATGTATGCATTCCATTTTAATGTTTACTTTAGGTATTGTTTTCTTACATAAACCTTGCACATACAACAATCACTGTTTCATAGTTTGGAGCAATAGTTTTAAAGAAACCTTCTAACCCTGCCCTCAAATACAACCCCATACACTGAAACGATAGAAATGTTAACCTTTAATGCTGGTCCCTGGCCAAAGACATTAAATGTTACCCCATTCTTTTCTGGAAGTCCAGTCACTTGATCCCAGGAAATAAAAAAATAACTCTGATAAATTTTCTATGGTATTGGCATTGAATCCCAAGGAACTTCTAATGTACATGAAAAGGCACTGGACAATATCTAACTGATCAGAGAGCTATTTCTGGAGCCAATTAAATTAAAAGCAGGGAAAAAATAAATGAAAAACAATCTGTTTTGATCAATTTCTGGTGCCCTGTAACTCCTGCCCTGGGCCTTGGCCTATCTGACTCCTAGGTAAATATGTGTGCAAGAGAGCAGAAGCCTACCGCAAACCATGTAAGAACACAGTAACTGATTAATCCTGAACTGGAAATAGTAGAAGCCAAGGAAAACATTAGCTAAAATTTAAATAATAGAAATACGATTTAGCGAGTCAGTTTAACTTGTGTCCTGGACACTGCCAAAACTTGTTCATGCTTTTCGTACTGAAGATTGATGGCTAGATGGTGTCTCTCAGTTTGGAACACAAATGGAATATATTTGCTTCTAGGCTAGTCCAAGTTAAGAACCAGCTTTCATTAGTAGTTACATTTGCTTCTGATGATTTTTTTTCTTTTTAAGATAATAGAGACATTAAAAAGCAAACAAACATATACTTTTTGCTATTTATTTGACATGTAGCTTGAGTGCTCCCCAAGTTGAGAGGCCAATTCTGCCTTCAGTTGCAACCAAGAAAAATCTGCGGCTTATGGTTTCAAACACAAGTTTGATTTCCAGAAATGCTCGTGTTGGCTAACAATGACCCTTTTCAAATTTTGCCAGCTGGTAAGTCTGGGCTTACGCACAGTGTAAACACTTTAACACACTCCTAATGGAAACAGAAGGCAAATTTTTTTCCATACCATCAACTTCACCATACTAAAACTATGGTGTCCCATATAACAATATTTTTTTAAAGAAGGAAAGCTTAGTGCTTCTTTTGCATCTCTGGAAAAAACATTTCTGTAAAAATTTGCCAAGCCAAACTTGCAAGTCAAGATATTTTAACTTAGAGAATGGCACTGACCAAGTTAGCTAAATTCAGTATTAGTTGTCCCTGAAACATAACTTAAGTCCTTCCAGGAAAAAAAATAAAAAAATAAAGCAGTATTAACTTTTGTAAGAAGAATACATTAACAACACTCTGCCTCCTCTTAAACCCTCCAGATGAATGCTAATTTGGCATCTGGCAAACTTCAAGAAAACTAACATTAGCCAATCTAGGGTTGGAAAATTTTAGTCTCTTTCAAAAATCATGGGCCAAGAAAGGAAAGAACACGCACACAAAAAAAGTAAGAGTATTTCTAATATGTCTTTCTTCAGCTTTTCTTTTGCATATGAAATGTTATTATCTACTTACTGGATTACACTACATGGCCCGTGAGTCTGTTCCCAGCAGTGCTGTAAGGACAGATCAGCTGCGTGCATCTCGGGTTGGCCGTGATGGCAGGGATAGAACACCATGGGGTGTGGTGGTGTTCTCCCTCAAGTCGGAGCAGACTTGCTTTGCAACCAAACCACAATCTTCAATTTCTGATCTGCTTAGACTATGAAAACAACTAACCAACCAACCTAGCTACTGCTAGGACTAGTTTCCAATGAGAGACTGAGAGCTGAGCTTTGTTTTTCTTTTACTTTATGTCTTTCACAAGCATTGACCCTCAGGACATGAATAGTCTTAACATTATTTAGCCCTTATAGGGCTGAAGGAACTTTATGGTCCATTTTTAGTGAGGTTCTCTGAGGCTGAACATGTTTTTATTTTGCATTCCAACAGAAGGTTCTTCAAAATTTTGAGAACAAAGTCTCCTTCAAAAATTAACTGCAGAACTAGAGGAAAAGAAAATTCTATATCAAATATACATCTGGAAATATAAGTATTATAGCTTGTCCCACTGCTTGGACCAATCTATGCTTCTGTGTCACTAGTCTACCTTCTTGCTCCCTAGTGGTCAATATCCAGGGTAAAGGATTTAAAAGCGAACAAAGCTCAGCAGCTGGAGCATTTTCTGCAGGCCATGTGACCGATGGGAATATTTGTCAGTAAAATGTTGGTGGTCTACTTAATTTCTGCACGATCAAAGTCCTTAAATCTGAGCTTTCTTTTAGTAGTGCCAAGCTATGTTTATTTGCAGTTTTGCTCTGTTTATTCTGGTTGAAAGGACACGTTCAGCCTGCTTTGGATCAGCTGATCTGCTGCTGACCTGTTTCAGCTCTGAGTGACAGGTGTTTAGATAAGGACTGATTTGTTCTCTTTGCAGATGGAAAACGTTAGGTAAAAAGAAAGCACTGACAACTATGAAGTTGTGATGACATGAGATGATAAAAGATTCCTTATGAAAAAAGTTAATCACCTCAACTATGCTAGCATTTCTCAATAAAATGGCATAAAGAACTGCCCATCCAGACTGGCTGTATTTCAGCAACACAGGATATGATCCCTCCATATAAAGTTTACAGATGCTTTTATAAACCATGTCATATGCTGTGAATGAGAGGTTCTGGTTCCCTTCTCTTTGGTGCAAGTGTTTCTACTTCCAAGCCTATCCTTCTCCTACTCCCCTCCCCTCTTTTGTCATTGCAACAGTAGCCTTGCCTAGATCCCTGCAAACCCTCTTACTGTCCAGATCCCTGCTTTTTCAGCCCTTCCCTCCTCTTCATGATCTTTACCTCTCCTCGCCCACCAGTGGCTCCCCCTCCATGCCATCCACCAGCCCCCATGGCTGCCACCAGAGCAACCTTCTGACTTGATTGGTTGCCAAGGATGAAGCCCAGGATGGTGAACCTGGCTGGTGCCTCCACTTTGCTGCTCAGCTCTGGTGATAGTTTATTCTTCTGGTTGGGTGTAAGATCCACCACACTAGTGAACTGGAGTTATCTGGCTAGGATGCTCTATAATTACATGGTATTATTGATGCTGATATTATCTGATGGATTCTCAAAGGTACTTCTCTCATTCAGATTCCTCCAGGGACTGGGGCTATATGAAATACCATTATATAATTCTTTGAAAGCCAGTCTTTTAGTTGTTTTTCCTGTTAAAGTGTGAGTCCATTAGACCCAGCACTAATTATTAGAAAGGTGCCGATACCAGTTGGCCTGTGTTTAGCTTGAGTTTTTAGACTCCAACAGCTGGGTAAGAACTGGGCATGCAGAACTTAATTAGTTCTGCATACTTGTCTTTTGATCTGCCTGTGCATAATAAACAACTCTAGAAAACTCAGCTTACTCACTTAGCAAAACTCCTCACCTACTATAGTTTCATGAATTTTATCACATCTGTGACAACATACACCAGCTGATGATCTGTCTTGCTCTCACAGTATATCTCCAACTCCAATGTGATTTGCTAAATCAACATTCAGAACAACGCACAGGTTCTAACTGGAGCAAGCTATACAAGGGCTCAGACTGATGTGATGGAAATCAACATATTTATAAGATCACAGAATGTTATTGTAACCTCCACTCTCATTAAGATTTCTCTCAGATACCTAGAGTCAATGTTCTCTTTGCTCAGTGCATCATTCTGCCCTCAGAAATGATAAAGAGTACTCAAGTTTCTAAAACACAAACATACCTGTAAATGCCCTCCACGAGGATGATAATTTTTCTCCATGCTCTGCGGCTTCGAGGCTGCCCATATATTATTGCATCCCTCAGCAATTTCTCAAGGCTCTGCATATCTTTATTTAAAAATAAGAAAAAGGAGTAAGGAAAAATATTAGCAAATATTTGTCTAAAGAACTTTCGATTTTCTACTGGGCACTATGTTTTCCTATACAGAAAAAGACAACAATAAAAAAAACATATCTTGAAGATAAACTTTCTTTATTAGTAGACAAGACCCAACAATTGATTTAATTTGCCTGAATGCAATCTAGCGAGGAGGAGAGTTACAAAAAGCTTCCAGTTATGCACCTTGTCTGGGAAACTTCTAGAAATTCTTGGCATACATTTTTATTTAAAGGCAAAAGGGAACCACTTTGCTTAAGTTCTGAGGCTAATTGCTAGCAGTTCTCTGTATGGGTTGCTGAAAATCATGTCTCAAGGCTTCCGAATAGCGAGTTTTTGATTGCTTTCCAACAGCACCATGCACTCATGAATAGCATGCACAGCTTCAGGAAAGGTTTGGAAGAGGCTGTGTGAAGCAAGTCAGGATGGCAGCAAGAGAAATCCTGCCTTCTCAAGAAGAGAAGTGAGTGAAAGATTGCTGATGAGAGAGGGAGAGGCAAGTGGATACAAGCACATAGCATGGATACACTAATTTGGTGCCAAAATTCTTGGCATCGGTGGGACTTTGACATGAGGAGGCCTGGAACAATGTTAGAAACGTAGCTGCTTTCTCAAGGTCTAAGCGTGGATAATCTAACAAAATTCTTGAAATAAAGCCACTGAAGTTTTGAAAAACACAAAAAAAGCAAGAAAAAACATCACAGGAATAAGGATCAGACCAAACGTGACTCTCAATGCAGAGCTGAAATCTGACCAGCATTCTGGTGTCTGCACATGAGTGAACACTCTCCAAAATGAATTGTTCTGGTATTTTTCAGGAATCTGGATTGACATTTCAAAATGTTTTCGAAGAACATCTTACAGGGACTCATAATACCCTAAGGAACGCTACAAATCAGCTAAAATTGTGAGTTGAGAAAATCAATGCTTTTTTTCACCATAAAACCCCACTTCTTCAGCAACACATCTTAATGTAGTCATTATAACCTTCTAAAATAGCACAAAGCTAATCTTTAAAACACAGTTGTCCCAGCTGCAGAAAATACACCTTAGGTATATTAATGTTGACCTATAGCTTGGTTTCCACCTGACTGGAACTGGGGCATTTGCACAGTAATTGTTCATCATGAATAACCTGTGACCTGAGAGATGGCAGGTTATGACATGAACCCTTCCACTTTGGTACCTCACCTCTTCCTAGTAACATTTACTGATCTCAGTGAAAGATAAATTTCTCAGAAACACCTGTGCCACTCTGCACCTTACCATGTAATCTCTTGACCTAGAAGACCTTGCTAAAACTTACAAAGCACAACACATGCACGATAAGTTGCCCCTTGTTTCAATGGTGCAATCATCTGCACAGCTCAATGAGCTCCAAGATGGAAATGCTATTATGAATAATGCAATGCAGACAGAACAGTTTCCACTAGATGGCAATCAAGGAAATAAAAGTTCCTTGGTGCTTTAAAAGGGGAATTTATAACTCAGCTGAGCATTTGCAGTATATGCATATTTCATAGAAGAGAGCTGCTCACCTTCTCTTTTGTTTTGAGTAGATAATATTCAGAAATCTTTTGACTTCTGAGCATTAAAGGACTCCCCCAGGATGACAGAAAGCTCATTCAGTCACTCAAAGTAAAATTTGGGCGACCCCTTTTCTCCACGGATTATTTCTCTACTGATGTCATAGTCATGTAATTCCTTTCAGGACCTTTGAAACCCTCCTTTGAATCACACAGGGTCTTTCAATTCAGTATTCTGTCAACACATGAGTCCAGATTGGTTCTAAACTTCAGGAAAGTCAGTTTGCCCAGCCCTCTGAGCTAAAAGCATGGCTTGAAGATTCAGTTGTTTTAACATACATCCCCGTGAAAAGAAGGAAAGGAAAGGAAAGAGGAGAGAATTGAAATGTATATAACTCTGTTTAATAGAGGTGTTTAAAAAATACATCGATGTGAACAGCTCCTCTGTCCAAACTAGCATGGAACATGAGACGACAGATAGGGAAGAACCTCTCTGAGGGATGAGCTTGCCTGACTTTATACACGACATAGTCCTGCTGGAGTACAGGCTGAGGACACGTCTATTTGCAGGATCAGGGCTACCTCACTTTATTCTTGATGCCTCATTCTGGAAAACATACATGTGTGACCTTTTCTTAGGCCTGTAACAGTCAACACATAATTTGTTTAGATGCAAATGAATTTTACTGACCTTTTTACTCTGTGCTTCTAGTGCCTCATTTGGAAAGGGGAAACTGGGAGGAAGAGAAAATCTGTTACCTTTAATCTTCCCCTAAATGGCTGCCTCTGTTATTCAAAGTGAAGATGCAGTGCTCTCTTTGTGCTTGCGCTTAGACTTTCCAGAAAGTGGGATATACTGAACGCCAGTAAAAACAACAGTGCAGCCCCAGGTGGTTGTTGGATATCAAATTATTTGCCCATTAAATATAGTTAGATTGAAACACTGGGGCATTGAGATGATGAGTTGCACGAGTCCATCTTGAATAACCAGTTATGGGGAAAATAACTGTCCTTCCTTGTTTGACCATCACCAGCCCAGACTTTTCAGTGGTAATGGCTAACAACCGTTCACCAGCCCAGGAGGTGGTGAGAAGAAGAATTTCACTTGATTAATTAGCCAAAGCACAACCAAATCTATCCTTGTCTCTAGTTTCTGCCTCCTCCCTGTGGCATATTGTCTAGATACGGAGGATAAAGCTTCCTAAGCAGGGACAGTGGATCTCACGGGTTTTTTAGAATTTAATATAGACTTGCACAATACTTGCTGGGGATCCTCCAGAGTTACTTCAGCAGAAATACCAACAACATGAACTGCCAGTGGGTTGAAGCGAGCCTGGACCTGGACGGGCAGCCATGTGTCATGCTGCCTCCAGTGCAGGTGGGACTCCAGGCTCCTGGAAGGGCCCCTGCCCTCTCCCAAGCACACTCAGTGCCTCCTCGCAGGGAGACACGGTGTCTCCACCCCTTGTCCTTACATTGCAATGCTGGGGATGTCATCACCATTCGTCTGCATGGGCTGGAAATCTCCCGCATGATGTCAGCTGAATCTTTTTTAATTAAAAGAAACAGGCTACTACTACCCTTGTCACATTCTTCTTTCCTTCACCTTGTGTTTTGCTGCTCTCCTTTTCAGTTTCTCCCATTTTGCACTCTCATGCAAGTTTTCATGCAGACTCTGTGGCTACCTGCCCCTTCTCAGCCTCCCATGCAACCACCTCTCCCCTGCTGCACTGCATCTGCCGCAGCATCTGCCTCCTCCTCTCTTGCTCTCTCTCCTCCCACCCCCCCTGGCTGGTACCTTTCCTGGCCACTGTCCTTTGTCCACTGGAGTGGCTAGCTCCAATGCTGTCCCCCTGCTTGAAGATCCCTAGAGCAACAGAGGAAAACCACAGCAAAGGTTCTGTTGATCTAAACAGTAACTGTAGGACTGTAGAAGGCGGTTTTCATTCTAGTGAAATCTAGTCTTTGAAAAGTCCTTGACTGCTGGCACAGCTCTGAACAGCATAAGCATCTTTACAGTAATTTCCCCGAAATCACAGCTTTGATTATCTTCATTTGGAATGGGGTGGTGGGAGTGGTGATTACTGCAGCCACAGTAACAGCCTGAGACTCCCCTCCCTGCCCCTCAGTAAATATACATCTCTGTGAAAGTAAAGAGCCCTCACTCAGGAAAGCTTCCTATTCACACTTGGCAAGTCAGACTTGGCTTTCTCAAATCAGAGAGGGCAAATGCAGACACAGCATGCTAGGAGCAGGATATACCAGTCTCTTTTCTGTGGCAGCGTCTGTATGTGTCACAGGGAAATACACGCCAAACTGGATTAGGCTGTGGTCCACCTATCTGGTGCAATAATCTTGTCTCTGATAGTGGCCAGAGGCTTCAAGGAGGACAAAACCTTAGTGGGTAATGTGCCTTTCATCCTGCTCTGTAATAGCTGTGACACTGCCCTCCCTTCTTAAATCCAAGGGCCACTTACACCTTTTGAAAAAAAATAAAAAAATAAAAAATTAAGTAACCATCTTGCACTGAGCCACTGCAAACTCCTTGTTTTTTGCAACCAAAGAGATTTTTCACTAATTTTTTACCCATTCATTTATCTCTTTCATTTCCCCCCCTATTTTATTTACTTGCTTGCTTGCTATGCACTTAGTTTTCCACTTATTTTTTCTCTTTTTTCCTTCTTTTTTGCTAGAGAATATATTTGCACTGAAAGGTAAGGGCCTTCTGCTGCCTAAAAGTTCTTTCAGTGTTAACTGCAACTCCTCCAGGTAAGCTGTGTTTCCTCTCTAAGGTGTCCTCATGGCACACACATCTGAATTCCAAAGCATTAATTTGACTGAGTAGACTGAGAAATGTCAAAGCTGGATTAACATAAATTCACAACTGTTGTCCAAGCAGGAAACTGCATTTTGGAAACCTGAACAGCTCACACTTGCATGACACATCAGTCATCAACCACCTGATCTGTGAGAACCCAAAAAACCCCTTACTACTTTCACAACACTCTGAAAGGGTGCATGAGGAGGAGATAGGAATGTACTACTGCGATTCCCATTTCAGATGTGGATTCAAGCACCAGATTAGAGGCCAGATTTTCATCTAACTAAGGTGCTTCGTTGTGCCTTGCAATTGCTTGCCTTCCTCATAGTATCACTTGCTCTTATGGCATGTTGAAGTGCCCTTGCAATGAAGAGAACCGGAATTTTTGTTTTCCCACATGGCCTGATTTCTGTGTGTAGTCACAACATTCCTATGGACTGCCGAAGCAATTGCAAATCTAAACCTGAAAATGTGACTGCGATTGCGTTACCTGATGCTATATGGGAAAACGTAGCAGAATTAGAAAGAATAAACAAATACTAAGCCTTGTACAGCACCTTCTTATACAGGCTGATATGAACAGAATTCATTTGGATGTAGTTAG